TTTACTTAAGAATGATATTATTTACAAGTTTACAAGGAAATTAAAAATTAAGAGCGAGTTCAAAATTACTAGTAATAGGGGCAAAGAGGCTCAGTATTCCAAGCTCGCTGTACTTCAGAACCATTAAGTCTTTTGAGGTGATACGTCCTTGGTCGTATCACCTTGGCGATGCAAAATAGGCCTTCCCAGTTCGGTCCTAATACCCCCGCGCTTGGTTCCCTTATACCGAGAAGGACTTTTTTCAGAACTAGGCCACCGACCTGAAGTCTCTTCTCCTGACCTTAGAGGCAAAAAACCTTTTTACGCGCTGCTGGTAGGATGCTATCCTTAACCGAGCCTTGTCGTGGTGTTCTTCAACTAAGTCCAGATTTGCACGCAGAAGTGCTTCATTGTCTATTTCATTGAATAGGTCTCTCTGAAGTGAACCAGTCCCTACTTCCATTGGGATCATAGCCTCACAGCCATGTGTTAGCAAGAAGGGCGTTTCTAAAGTGGAGGTTCTCGGAGTTGTCCTATATGCCCATAGAACTTCTGGGAGGTCGTCGACCCAATTACCCTTGGCAGCGCCAACCTTAGCCTTCAAAGTGTGCTTAATGGTCTTGTTGACAGCTTCAACCTGACCATTGGCTTGTGGTCTTATGACTGAGGTGAATTTTTTATGGATCCCTAGCTCATCACAAAACTGCTTGAATTCTTCGTTGTCGAATTGCTTCCCATTATCAGAGATGAATGCATGAGGAATTCCGTAGCAGCACACTAAATTTTTTAAGACGAAGTCTTTGAGCTTCTTGGTAGTGATCATGGCCAATGGTTCAGCCTCGGCCCATTTAGTGAAGTAATCCACTGCAACCATAACATGCTTGACCCCTTCCTTTCCAACTAGCATGGGTCCAATAAGATTAATACCCCACATGGAGAATGGCCAAAGGCTGGTCATAGTTATCAGCTAGTGGGAAGGAGCTCGCAATATGTTCGCGAACCGCTGGCACTTTTCACATTTTTTACAAAATTGAAGTGTCTTCCTGAAGTAGGGGTTAGTAGTACCCTTGGCGAATAATTTTGTTGGTGAGGGATCGCGCGACAATGTGATTACTATAGATCCCTTCATGTATCTCCCTCATGACATAGTCTGCTTCCTCATCAGTTACACATTGGAGGAAAGGGGTGTTAAACCCTCACTTATACAACTGATCTCCTATGAGTGTGTAACAAGCAGCTCTAGTGCATAGGATTTTTGCCTCAATCTTGTCATTGGGTAAGGTCCCATCTCAGAGATACTGAATAATTGGAGTCATCCAGGAAGTAGTAGTAACACTATTATTGGTGAGAGACAACATTACCTTAGAAACATCGTCAGTCTCTCACATTAACCATATCTATAGACTAAGACTCCTCCATGTGCTTGTGTCGTGAGAGTTGAGACTACCTGAAAAAAGATGAGTTGGAAATTAATTGCATTAGCCACTTTAGAATAAAATTTGTTTTCATGTGCTAGTAAAAATGAGACATATTCAGCATAGAATAATAAATTCAACATAGAATAATATACTAGAAAAAAGAAAATGAATTCAATATGTTGTTAGTAGCCATATAAGCTATGTATTCGAAATAAATACAACATATCAAGAATTAACACATCCCTTCTATTTGAAAATAGTTTGAACTGGATTTATGCCATGTATGAACATAAAATAAGAACTCAACTAAAGGTAATTTTCTGAACAGTTGTCAATTTGACCAGTAAGCTAATATTGACATAAAACGAATAGATACTATAGAAATTGCATATTTTGACATGGCAAGGATAGGGTGATAATAAAGTGAGCTCATGGAAAGATTCCTTAAGTTTCTTTATGCACCAATGACACAAACCAGCATGTTGAAATCTGAAGTCACCATTTTTCCAAGCAAGAACATCCAGGAGATTAATTATTTTGTCCAAAAATACATTTAAGCTTCCTGGTAATAGTATTGTAACATAAATTACAGGATATTAAAAATTTCTAAATATGTTTTTCTCAATGTAGAGGGAAACTGATATAATCTCATATATATATATATTGACAGAACCCAGATGAAAAATAGAAATTTGGGTAAAAGATTAAAAAACCCAACTCTATTAACTTGAAAATATTAAATATCTCCAAATTCACCTGTTTGGGTTGCCATTATACTCAAATATACAAGAATTAATTTTCTATCAAAGCAAGAAACAATGATCCAGCTAGAAAACTAAACCGAAGCAATAAAACAAGTATTTGTTCCCCTACTAATAAATAAAAAATCCAAAAAAAAATAAAAAATGAGAACAATTTGCTATGTATTTAAGAAATCCAAGAAGGTGAAGAAACTTACAACAAAGAAATCAGAAGGATAAACTTGAAAGTAATCAAATCCAGTTCATAAACTTGTTTAGAGAAAGCAGAGGACTTTTGTGAGTTACCGAGAAAACTTGTTCAAAGAAAGAAAAATTTTTCCCTTCGAGTGTTGTCAAATGGAAGCTATAAGAGAGTTGGACTCATAAACTTGTTCAAAGAAATCAAAGGATTTTTGTGTGTTACAGAGAAAACTCATGGGAAGAAAGCAAATTTTTTCCCTTCCAGTGTTGTCTAATGGAAGAGACAAGAGAGTTGGATTTGGGAATTAGGGATTTACTATTCAGGTTAATTTTTTTTATTTTACACGGGTATCCACTGATATACTTGGCCCACTCGCAAAAAGGGGTCGGGTCAAGTACGGGTAAAAAATCAGTCCAAAATGGTGGACCTGTACCCTATATTATTTGGACGAGTTCAAGTCCACCCGTGGGTATAGACCTGTTTTACCAGGTGTATACATAACTAGATGGAAAGCCTGCGCATTGCACAGGTATGTTTAGTGGTTGTTTTTTAAACAGTTTGTAAATAGCTTTATTGTAAAGTTTTAGTGGTATGCAAAGCATGTGTTTGTGGGTTATTGGTCTGGCCTATTTGCAAAGGTTTTCAAATCCCATGTAGTCATGTGCTTCAATCTTCTCGATCATGTTTGATATGCCAACCCCACCTATCAACATAAGAAAACATCAGTTTCGGACTTTATCCAAGTAAAAAGATATCTGAATGAAAATGATATTATTACGCCAAGCAATAGGGGGATCAACACCAACCTAAAGATATTGCACTAACAAATATGGTAAAGGCTAAAATGAAGATGATAAGCAATGCCCTTCCTAATAAACTAATCAGTTTTCTCACAATATGCTGCCCAATTAAAGCAACAATGGTAGCCACAACAACAAATTAAAGAGCTGCCAAAGAAAGTAAAAAAATCAATTGAAGTTAGACAAACCATAGATCCAACATCTAGATACAAATTACATTGCGTGTTTTTTTGGAAAGGTGGTTTTCTGATGTTTAGAAATTACGAAAGTACAAATAATTGTGCAATTTCGGTGCTAGTGGGTCACTTAAAGTAAGGGACAAGAAAACGTTTTAGAAGTTAATATTTTACAACTGACATGGATTTGGAGAAGGTCATAGCAAATGTGCACTTGTTACGTGCATAAAAGTCATCAAGAAAATTAAAACTAAAACATAAAATAAAGATAACAATTGACCATTTGTACATGTAAAGTTCCTGAAACAAATGCACGGGAAACGTCTTTGAGTTTGCAAGGAAAAGAAAAAGCTATCAAAGCAGGTCTAGAGACATAAGTTATAAAATACAATGAATCCAATAACATTTTAGACTCTTCGAAGAACTTTGAAAATGCTCAAATTTCTATGTACAACTTAGTTAGAATTAAAAGAATAGCATTTAAGTAAAAGAACAAACCACAAACCTTCTAGCAAAATGATGGTAACCTCCTCCCATACCATAATGAGATTTCCCTTTCATTACATCGAACACTGATCTGATTCAAAAGCACAACCAAATAAACATCAAAATAAGTAATTGCTAAGCCAGTTCTTATAGGTAAAATCACATATAACAGAGAATAAAAGTTAATACCCAAAAATGCCAAAGAGAATCGGTCTTGAGTCATCAATTCCGTTGTACAAAGCCAATTCTTCTACAATGAACAATCTCTAAAAGCATAAGCAAAATCAATTCAAATTCGAATTCAAAATATATGCAAAACTGGATATTTAATCTATACATATAAACAAAGTTTTCTTGAAAACTTTGGGATGCCACTATTTAATTGTTATTAATATTTAAGTGAATGTGAAGGGATTAACATGAATCTATATACCTTTTAATTAGACCTTTGGATGTCCAATATGTGCTATTAATACTAATAAATAGCAATTTACATATAAATAAAGTTTTCTTGGGACCTTTGAGATGTCACTATTTAATTGTTATTAATATTTAGGTGAATGTGAAGAAACTAACATAAATCTATATATCCTTTGATTAGACATTTAGATGCCCAATATGTGATATTATTACTAATAAATAACAATTCTAGAGTTGCAACTGAAATCTTACAAAGAATCCTACATGACAATCATATATTAATACAACTCCTAAGATCTTATGTGGCATCCTACGTGAAGTCTAAATGACGATCAATAAAGAGGGTGGGTTTCAGGATTATATAGATATATAGATTAGTCTCTCGGTAAGTTTCGGGTTTGAGCTTGCGTAGGATTCTGCTATGGGCTTGGGTATATTGTTTCACTATACCTTTCCAAATATCACTTAGGTCCACAAGAAGTCCTTAACTTGTTAAAGATCAAACCAAGTTCAAGATGTTTCTGTTAGAGACCAAGTCCAAGAGTTATCCATTGAACCACTTGGAGCAATATATTCCAACTGATTTTGTAATATTGTAGTTGACCAATATTTGATTTGGTTTTATCAATTGCTGTGTATAAATAGTTTGATTGTTTTAGTGATAAGTGTGTGAAAGATAAGCTTAAATCATTTCTTCTCAAAATTAGGGGTCTTTTAGATGATTTAAAGTACACAAGGGTTTTAAAAGATAATCTCCAAATCGAACGACACGAATATATCCAGAAAATCTCATTTTGTATGTTGACCAATGACGACTTGCACTTTCAGCGGCGAGCACACGTTATTCTTTAGTAAAAAGCGAAAGAATAGTTTGTTATGTGCTCATCGCACGGCTTTGTACGCCTCCATTCTATCAGAAAACAAGATGTTGTTTCCTAGAACTGATAAATGACATGAAGATTCTACTGTTAACGAAATGACACCTTTTTGTTTGTCCAAGAAACATGTCGTTTACCATGTCCAAGAAATGACATGTTGTTTCTTGTTTCCAAAATGACATGTCGTTTCTTTATCTCGAAAGTGATATGTCTTTCCTTTACTGGTGGAACAATATCGTTCTATACTATATGAAACGAATATCGCTTCTTTTGTCATGAAAAACGACACGTCGTTTCATATTGGTGCAAGAATGAGGCCGTTCTTATGGAAACGACGACATTCCTTTTTCAATAAACAAAACGACAAAGTTCCTTTTCCAATAAAGGGTGACGTTATGGTTGCCTTCTCACGACGTTATTTCTTTTGTCCTTAAAACGATGTTGTACGTTCGTCCAGGAAACGACGTATTCCACTTGTCTAGGAAATGACATGTCCTTTCTTTTGGTCCGAAAACGACAAGTTGTTTCAACCAAAATATATATGTAACCTAGAGAAAACTAAAAACTAATTATTGTATAAAACATATAGCACTTTTAAGTGATCTTTGTTTATGCGTTATTTTGACACCAATCAAACGTATATATAAAATATTGAGTTGGCTTAAAAGACACACATGGATGAAAGAGTAAGAGTAAAAACAATATAGAACAGTGTTTAAAGTAGTTCGGATACTAAGGAAACAAATCATAAGTCCACTGATTTTGTATTAATATAGTGATCCGGTCACGTTCAGCGGACTGACTTACAAATGATTATATAAGAGAGAGAATGCTATTTTTTCTTCAGAGAGATTAGCTAATCTCTTAAATGAGAGAGGAGCTCTCAATTTATAGTGGGACGGATTAAGGTTATCATTACTAAATCTGTGAGTTGGTGGATTATCCGTGTAAATCCTTCTTTATGTCCCATTGCCTACCTTCTAGAGCGATTTATGCGATTTGGCGCAATGATTAGACACGTGGAATCACTCTAGCTCCTAGCTGGTTTGACGCGCACCCACTACCCTGACAGGAGCATGCTGCCCCTATCATTGTGTGATGTGACTGCCTCTGACCGACAGCGGACATACCCAAACTCTGACTTTTTATGTTGACTGGGTCTAGCGTTAACCCTACTTTTTATAACAATCTTCAACCAAGTTATTCATTACAATTTACAAAAGAGATATTATTATGAAATGTTAAAAAAGGGTACAAGTTTTAATTTGTTCAATTTCCGGACACTAAAAGTAACTTTATTCAATTTAATGACAGTTTATAATATTGCTAAATAGTAATTTTTTTTTTTATTAATGCAATTGTGGTATATCATAATTTTTTTATGCATATTTAAAAAAAAAAAAAAATTAGCCCTTCCAAAAATAAATTTCTGGTTCCACCCTGCATTCAGGCACATATTTCTTTAACCATTCTTTTCTTCAAGTATATAATTCTTTAGGTGGGTAAAATTTAGAAAATAGAAAAATGATGGTATTTTACGATTTAAATTTTAACTTTGATAACAATTTAAAATTACATGTTAAATTTTAGAAATAACTTTTATCACAAGTCACGAAGAAACATATAAGTTTTACTACATACTTATACGCAAGTTTTACTACATAAAATATAAATAAACATCTTTCAAATGACATAAAATGCTTGACCCATCCCTCTCGTTTTATTATTTTCAATAAATTAAATTACAATTTAGACATATTTTAAAACCCATGGAAGAAATTTACTTAATAATTTCAACAAAGATAAGTTATGATTTTAAAAGAGAAATTCAACTCTTATCTCTCTCTTCTATTATTCTTTAAGAACGACTCCTGTTTCTATAATAAGAGTTGTAAGTCGTCTGGTTGATTTAAGATTTAGATAAATGTTTTTAGAATAAAGAATAGAAAAAACAAAAGATTCCGATATAAAGATTTATATATTATCGTTCTAATAATATAATATCATCTATGGTTACACATATTTGTCATAAAGAAGGTCNAAGATAAGTTATGATTTTAAAAGAGAAATTCAACTCTTATCTCTCTCTTCTATTATTCTTTAAGAACGACTCCTGTTTCTATAATAAGAGTTGTAAGTCGTCTGGTTGATTTAAGATTTAGATAAATGTTTTTAGAATAAAGAATAAAAAAAACAAAAGATTCCGATATAAAGATTTATATATTATCGTTCTAATAATATAATATCATCTATGGTTACACATATTTGTCATAAAGAAGGTCCATTAAAAATGTTTGATAAAATAAATTTTAATTAATATAAATTATTTTAGTATATTTTATAATATTAGTTAAATACATGTTAAAATGAATTTTATGATTATAAAAATATTTTAAGGAGTAAAATATGTCATTTTAAGTCATTATACACATAAAAACACTTTGTAGATTTAACTTTTAGAAATAAGAAATATTAAGATTATGATTTACAGAACACACTTGAAATTGTTTTTAAAGTTGATTATTTTCAAAATTAGAAAAGAAAAAAAAAAACTGATTATACCAATCCCAAACTAACCCTAAAATTTCCTACAACGTTGGTCAATTCCGACTTCCGAGTAAGCAGATTGTCTGCAAGGAAAAAGACAAGCCTCTAGAGAATGATTCTACAATATCACTCTGGAATGATTCTACAATATCACTCTGGAATGATTGAGTACAGACTACAGACTACTCCTTGAATTGCAAAAAGTGGTGGAGTAAGGAAATTACATTGAGGCCAAAGGAAATTACATTTACAGGGTAAAAGTGTAAAATTCAACAAATGAAGATAAGTTTTCAAATTTTGCACTCTAGGGCTAAGCCATGATCTGTTAATGACATGAAATTTGTTAATTTGTTTTATAATTTTTCACACTTGCTTTTATACATATTCAAACTTTTCTATAATAATTTAAAACATTGTACATTATTTATTTAAAATATGCAATCTTTTCTTTGATTTCGGTTTTGTCAACCAATATTATCGTTATGATTTTACATGAAAAATAACAACTCTTACAACAATCAAATGCTTCCACTTGCTATACAAAAATATGACACCGAAATTACTGAGCAGATAATTAAATTTATTTTGATTATTTAATACAACGGTGTTTTACTGTTTTTATTACAATTTAAATTTAAATATTGTTAGAGAATTACTATTTAGTCTCAATAACGACTGTCCCAATACCGTTAGATTGCCACTTTTGATTCCTTTGAATACATCCGGGCATTCGAAGAATTGAATAATGTTTTCTTAAAGCAATAAAGACGACAAAAAGGGACTTATGGACTGCCAGGTAGTGGCTGTGAGCTATATGGATATTAGTCTGGTCACAGGTGACAGGACTACCTATCTTCTGCCCTCCAAGAACGATATGCCCTTTTGCTGGATATAATTGGGACAGTGGACTTCTATGGCGGAAGTCAATAGATGATATTTCAGCAGCGCAGCAAATATGAGTGGTGCCGATCATAATAGTCCCGATGCCGATATCTGGTCCTTTATGTTTCAAACTAACGAAGAATTAGATGAACAGAATCTTGAGGAGTTGGGTTTCAGCCAGTTGCAAAATGATGGGAAGTCAGATAAACAGAATGTTACTGGAACATCCATGTCGGAAAGTGGTTTCGAATGGGACTCGGTTCATAGCTTTGTCATGGCTGATTCAAATGAGGGGTTGTCAGTGGGTTCAGAAGCTCATAGTCGAATTTCAACTCAAGGTCCTGACGTGGGAATTATTCCAGGAAAAATCAGGGATCAATCTGTTCGGAATTCCTTACTGGAGCCTCACAACGAGGTAACATAACTGATTCTTAAAATATTCTGTAAATTCTGAGTATTGGATTTGAATTGTTGCATTCAGTTACACGGTGGCAACAGTTTGACCAATTGGATTAAACCTGTAATCCTAATGGGATATGGCGCAGTTACCCAACACACAGCACCCCAGCATGGTCATGGGACACTGCCAATTTCAATTGGCAATTCAGTCTCTAATTTACTTTAGAATTAATTCATTGTTATTTATGCACAACAGCACCACCTGAAATACTAAACCAAAACATTTTTTGTTGTTTTTTTGTTAGAAGATTTCAGTTTCAGTACACGAAATATGTCTTATGTTTTTTCTCCCACAAAACTTTGCCCCTCCGTCAGACTTTCAGTTTATCCTGTTGAACCTATCTTAATAGTTTCTGGATAAATTTTCGGTGCCACTTTGCATATTTTAAAAATATCAAGCTGGTTCCTTGGTGCTTGACTTGTGGATAGATGTTGGCAAGACTACTGTTCATCATTATCTCTTTATTGGGTATCAATATAATTTTTCAAAGTATTATGTTTTCTTTCAGTGTAGATGGAAGTTGAGAGGACTCATTGCTTTCTTATGGAGTATTAATTTCTGATATGGGCTACTTCACTTCTTTGTGCAGAGTGTGGAAGATTCAATGAAACACCTTTGCATTTCTGGCTTTGTTTCACTGCCATCAGAGAGTGATGAGGCTGATTTGCCATCACAGTCACAGATTGACAGGGATGACATGCAATCTGAGTCAACTATCAATTTAATAGCCGGACCTCAGGAACTCAATTTTCAGGTACCAGAACTTGGGATGCCGTTTTCATCTGAGGATGAAGCATACAATTTTTACAAAAATTATGCTGAACAGATTGGTTTCAATGTAAGAAAAGGAAGGATACGACGGTTAGCAAATGGAACCATTAGAAAACGAGAGCTTTACTGTTCAAATGAAGGGTTTCGATCCAGGAAGCAGTCTGACAAGACAAAAAAGTTTGAGAAGGAAGAAAAAAGAACAGGCTGTAAAGCAATGGTCCAATTTACAAATGACAATGGCATATGGAAGATAACCCGTGTTTTTCTTGATCATAATCATGCCAAATGTTCTAATCAAGGACATATAATGTTTCCATCTTCTAATATCTCCTTAGAAGATGCAAGCATTCACACTGTAGATGAAGCTGCGATGGTGAATGAGGAAGGTGTTGCAAATTCTGCAGAATCCTATTTGGTGGATAGAAGTAACTACTTGCGCATTGAGAAAATAAATGTTCTTCCACCTGAAGATGGCCAGAGCTTAATTGATTTTCTCAAACATTTGCAGTTGGAGGATCCTTCTTTCTTTTACACAGTGCAGGTTGATGGCCGAAGTCACCTAACTAATTTCTTTTGGAGGGATGGCCGGTCTAAGATAGACTATGAATACTTTGGAGATGTTTTGATTTTAGACAGAACTTTTCGAATCGAAAGATTTGATATAATTTGTGCACCTTTCTTGGGAGTTAATCATCATAGGCAATATGTCTTATTTGGCTGTGCTTTTCTGCTTGATGATAGCATGGACTCATTTGTTTGGTTGTTTAGGTCGTTTGTGGAAGCAATGGGCATGCGTCGACCAAAAACAATTTTCACTGATGAGTGTGAAGGAATTTCTGATGCATTAAAGGTGGTGCTTTCTGGGACGCAACATCGTCTTGGTATGTGGTATATCACCCAAAATGCCAGAAAAAACCTTTATGAATCTTTTAAGCAACCTGGTTTTGAGGAACTTTTCAACAAATACTTATTCTGCTCTAGTTCAGAGGAAGAATTTTGTTCATTGTGGGATGATTTGTTGGTGACATACAATCTTCAGGATAACTCATGGCTCAAGACTCTACATATGATGCGGGGAAATTGGTCTCATGTTTTCAGTAAGATTGCTTTTTCTGCTGGAATAGAATCACTCCAAGGACGTGAGAACATTATTAATGTTTTCCACAACTTGATGACTGAAACAATTACTCTACCAAAGTTTGTTCAGCAGTATTTGAGATCAGCAGAGCAATGGCGTAGAGAAGAACTAAAAGAAGATTTTCATAGCAGAGAAACTGAACCGACATTGATTTTAAGAGGCAATGACTTGGAAAAACAAGCAGCAGAAGTATATACTTTAACAATTTACAAATTGTTCCAAGAAGAGTTACTTGGATGCCTGTCATTGGCTGTAGAACAAATTGCAGATGATGGGAAGATTTTATTTAAGTTAACAGAGGGAGCCCATAAGGAGAGCATCGTGGAATTTAACTATTTGGAATCCAAAGTCACATGCAGCTGTAAAAAATATGAATCAATTGGCATCTTGTGTGTTCATTCTCTAAGGGTACTCATCTCAAAGAATATCTTCCATATACCTTCTGAGTATATATTAAAGAGGTGGACAAAATCTGCAAAAGATGGGATGGTGTCGGTTGATCATAAACAAGAAACTACTACTCATGGGAGCCCAAGGTCACTGAATTTGATTATGAGTAGACTTATGCACAAAGCCTTACGTGTTGTTGATAAAAGTGTTGAAGTTGAGGGTAGTTGGAAGATGGTTGAGGACCATTTGGACTTGGCTCTAAGAGAGATTGAATATGTTAAAACAAAAAAGACTGGATATCTTAAAGGAAAAGATGCTGAACTTCATGATGGTGATATAAATGACACTGACTATATGGAAATACAAACGAATGTGTTAAACCCTCCATCTTTCAGTGAACAAGAATTGTCAAAGCACAGTATGACAGCTAGATTAAAGCGGAAACAAGAAAATGAAGTCAGACAGACAGAAAGAAAATCAAGTGATGATGCCATAGGAGCAACACAAGGTTAGAAGTATCATCACTTCAATTGATCACACACACAGATATATATATATATATATATATATAATATGTATTATCCACATGTTTAATGTTTAATTTGATTTACAGAATATTTCTGAGTTTGTTTTTTTCGGCTGCTAATATGCATTACCCACATGTTTAGTTGGAGATGATTTAGAACCAAGGGCTAGATTTGGCATTCCACATTGTGTTGGAGAATCTTGGCAACAGGCTACACAATTGTCATTCAGCGTTACAGGGAATATGCAGGTAATATCTCGTATAGATCATATACAGATCAATAAATTTGAGATTTCTTATGACAAATGTCCTTTGTTCGCCTACTAAAGTGATGTGTTATAATGTTATAATTAATTACCTATAAAAGAAGGTGAGAAGTCTTGTTTCTAGGGCATGGTGTTAATTGGGATGTTTATTCTTAAATGAGTTAGGACACGGAGAGTCTTTTAGTTCATAGTTAGATGTATTTTAACCAGTACCCCATTGATTCGCAAATGACAAAATGAAAAAGTGATATTTTTAGATCAATAAGTTAACAGGTACAACTTTCAGAATTCTTTTGACAGACTAAACATATATTTGGACATTTTTGTTTTCCATTAATTGAGTCTATTTCCCAACTTGCCAACACCTTAGATTTCTTCTGACAGATGATAATTCCTAAATGAATGTTAAAGCTTCCAAATGTTCATTCAATTGATTGGTCTTCAACTATGAGTTGATGCAGGAACGTATGCCAAGGCAGAAGAAGATATCAAAGCTTACTGAAGAGATTAGACAATCGTCTAGTTAATAAATGTAGTCTTCGTGTACATATCTTTACTTGAAGATAAAAAATTTATACCTTACAAAATTGGCAGTCAAACATTTTACATTGGCAGTTGATCAAGGTACAACTGAATCTAGCTGGCTTGTAGAAATATAAAGTCTCATAAACAGCTACCTATAAGGATTCTAAGATTTAGTTATTCATATTCTTGATTGATGCTCTGTTAGTTATTTTAATTGAGATGTTGAATATTAAGTTTAGTATTTAAAATTATAGTTTATGCGTCACATTTTTAGAATAGTGTTTTTGTCAACAGGAGTGCATAAAATTTGCATCAGTGTCTAGTAGGTATATCAATATCTTTTCATGTAAAATTCTGTGTCGTGCGAAATTCTGTTACCTTTTTTAAATTTAATTTTCCACTTTTTGAATTTCTTTACAAAGAAAATGTGATGCATGCTTTGGAAAGGGAGTTAAAAAATTGTGATAGAATTATTCTTGCATTATTTTTAATTTATAATGAAGGAAAGTTTTGTTTCTATTAAATTTCCATATTTGGATTCATTATTTTTCATCATTTTTATTATTTTGTATATCGCTATCCTGAAATCCTAACAATTGTCTCCATAATAAAGTTGTGGAATGCAAATTTTTTTTTTTTGGGGGGGGGGGGTTTAATTTGGTATTTGCACAACTTCTAAACTCATCCATGTTCAGTGGATAAAACTATGTGTTCTCTCAGTTGGAAACGGAGTTTGTTGTGTGTGATAAATTATTAGTCTGATCAAAGTCCTATAGTAAACAGATCATTAATACATGTAAAAATCAAATATTAAAATTGAATATAATATTTCTTTAGCTTGAAAAGAAACTATACTTGGAAAGAATCGAGCATGGCTTTCAAAATCTTTTGAGATGCCTGCCACTGTTTATCATTTGCACTTGCAACAAACAATACAACAGTGTTCCCTTTTGCTGTTGCCTTCGCAAGATTGTGCGACCCTGTCAGAGCAAATGGTGTCTCGAGGACATATTTGTAGTACTGCAAGCAACATAATATGAGAAGTTAGTCTTCAGTAACTTAAAAGAAAACATTACTCGTTTGACACTGTTTGTTTAGAAAGAAAAATGGAAAACGAAATAACACTCATGGAAAATAACAAGAGTTATATGCATAGTCGCAACTGTTATGAAGTCTCAATTCTTCAACAGTTCAACTCCTACTACTAACACTGGCGCTATCACATCTATCACCACTCTACTCAAAACTCTCTCTAGCCCCCAACTATACAGTATGACAAAGCGCAAAATAACTTTTCACTCCTGTTTTTCTTCCTTTCTTGGAGTGTATTTGTGTATTTCTATATTTTTGAGTAATAAACTAGATGTCAATTTCATTAATTGATTGGCACCAAATAATTTTGCACCATTTCATTGATTGACACCAAATCCGTTTGAATGATCTAAAAAGTTGGCAACAAATCAGCTTGACTTATCTAGATGATTAGCATGAATCAGACTGATCTATCTGGAAGATTAGCACCAAATCAGCTTGCACCATTTCAGTACATCAAACCAATCACTGAAATAGTGAAATGGATAAATTGTTTATTAGCAAGTGTGTCCATGTACACCCTAAAAAGGTGTCCAGGCTCTTCCTGACTAATGCTCATGCTTGTGCAGAGCAGCAGAAGCAAACAGGTCTATATGACAATAGATTGTGATGTATATTATATTAAATTCATTTATCAAGATGTCCAATGGTAACACAAATTTGGTTCCTCTATGTTTTTGGATTTGCAGTTAATTATCATTCGTATTTTTCTCTTTTTCTTGTTTGGACAACCCAAGAGGGAAATAAAGAGTGTCAAGCCTATTTAGACCAGGAAATATATAACAAAAGCATCATACGTATGAGATGAGGCAATAGGAGTTTACCGTCTGGTCTCCAACTTTTTCCACAGATGTTTCTAAGAGCTCATCAGGATCATATGAGTTTCCAGTGACAAAAGGGCCTAGAGAAGCAATCAATTTCTCAGGGCTCCCAATTTCTTCAATTGTTGCATTTGGTTTGTTGGTAAGGCGTATCAAAGGAGAAGCCACTACTTGGACTTTTCCCTGCTTTTCATCTTCAAACTTCACTTCAACCCAAGGCTCTGCACACTTTGGTTGACAGTAATTCCCTGACAATATATTGGCTACACGTGACTGTTTCCAAGTTGGTGGGAGAATAAACTCATAGGGCTGCACATTTCCTGCAACAAACTAATTTTCAAGTATTATCAGCATATACAAACAAGAAAAGCCAACAACGAATATAAGAGAAACAAAATCAATTAGAATCTGCAGTAGTAAGGACCTGATCTGTTGTTCCTGATGAATATTTGACAAATATAGATTTCCATGAAATCTTAGAATGAGATACTGTGGTTGTGGATTACTGATTGGATAATTCCACCAGAAATTTCAGTCTAAACATTATCCACAAACACATGCATTTCATATGTCATAAGTTTCATGACCAAAGCAATAATGATTTTGTTTTATCTCAACCTAATGCGTCTCAACAATTACACACCTCCCTCAATAACAAAAGGGACAAAAACAAACTATGGTAACAGAGCTCTGTATTATGATACACATTTACCATCATAATATGGATATAGCTAGAAATTTGTTGCAATGAAATTGAAGATTCAAATAAACCTTCTGAGCATACATCACATTTAATTTCCGGGCTGAATGTGAAATATGAGATAAGTTACTAGAAAAACAAGGAGGTAATACCAACAATTCAACCCGTTAATATATGCAAACGCAGAAAAGGTTTTATTGTGCTACTTCTTTAACTTCCTATAAAAAGTACTTAAATGTCAATTGTAATTAATAATTACTAACAGCAACGAATACTTATTAACATAAAAAAAAACAAATGCAAGCAAATGTACGTACCAGCCCGAAGAGCGGGGGTGTCTTTAGGAGAGGCTTTAAAAAGAACGAAAGAAGAATCAGATGAAGATGGCGGGAGATAGGAGCCCACTTCAACCTCTTTGGCTTCTGCAGAAGAAGGTTGTTTGAATAGTGTAGATGCAGTAAGTGGAAATATTGCAAGTCCTTTCAAGATTTCTCTTCTGGGAGTCAAAGTGCGAGTAAAGTCTTTGCGATTACTCTGATGGAATGTTCTTTCAGGTGAATGTGAAGGTTTAGGTGAGTTTGAGGCTGAGAATATGGGTGAAAAAAGAGAAGCCATTCTGGAGAGACACTGCAAAGGCTGTGAGTGCTCGATATTATCCGTTTTGGATGAGACGCTCAACCGCTCTTAATTTGATGGGGTCCACTTCTTGCACTGTGGGTCTTTCCGGCTTTGCCATGTAAAATTTATTTATTTTTTTGGATAAATTCTTACATAAAGGTTTTTTTTTTTTTTTTTTTTTTTTTTTTTTTTTACCAGGTTATTCAGCTAGATTAAGTTAGCCTCGACTATTCTTTTAAGACTCTAAACCTATCGATCGAGTAAAAACTCTGATAACTATCCTTATTAATAATAATAAAAAAAAAATCAAACTAAAACCCTCTTAAATAATACATCTAAAGTCTCTATTAAACTACTTGACCACCGTCAATAAGCAACCATAAACAAATATAGAACCTAAGAGTATGGCTCGAATCATAATATTATACTATACAGTACTGTATTAACTTGTCTTTAATTTTGCAATTAAAGTTTTAGCAAATATTCATTAAAATTTAATATTTCATTTTAATTTTTTTTTTTTTACTGTTAACTTCAATTTATACCAGTTATTGAAAAATTACAAAAAAAAGTTTAATGAAATATAAAATATTTTGATTATGTTATTTTAAAACAGTCAAAGCAAATTAGAGGTGGGAAAGGCCTGGCCCAGTTGGTCTTGGGCCTGGACCCTCAAGGTCTGGGCCCAAATAATCAGGGACCGGTCTTGGTCTATAGGACCTGACAATTTTTTTTATAAAATGTTATTTTAACTCTTATATTTATACTTCATATTAAATAAGGGGTTTTGAATATTTTATAAGGGTTAAAAGGAAATTGGGGAGGGGTTTGGAGGAGGGATCGGCCCTGAGCCTGGACCCTCCTCCCTTGGGCCCGGTCCGATCCTAGGACCGATTTTTTGGACTAGGCTTTTTGGGTCCGAGACAAATTCCCACCTCTAAAGCAAATGAAATAATACAATACATACCTTGACTCACCCTTTTACTTGGTATTAATTAATATAACATTTTTACTGTATGTTGATTAGTACAATGAAGATGCATTTAGATTTGTACATTGCATTAGCAAATTGGTTATTACAGTGTAAAATCTACGCCCAAACATTATATAGATTTATTTAATATAATACAATCCTCTTTATACTTATAAAAATCCTATACAAAACGTACACTAAATGACTTACAAACACTAACAATTTGATGAAATCAAAATAATCGTTGTTTTTTACTTTTTATTGTAATGTTAGGTCAACAACTCAATCTTACAACTTTCAACGTGACAGTTTGCAATTGGTCAGCTCACAAATTGGTAGACGAGATCCATAGCAAGTAGGCGGGATCCATTTACGAGTTGATCAATTACGAATTGTCATGTCAAGAGTTACGAGAAAATATTATAAAATTAGATTGTGGACCTAACATTAGTCTTGTGTTTATTTTTTTCCTAAAACTCTCTGGTCTCTATCTCACTATCTGGTATATAAACATGATTCAACCTCTTAACCTTTGGTACAACCCTAAGATATTTGATTAGACAATCATTCCAAGTAGCTACTACTCACTGAGATGGTATTACATAACATTAAAACTTCATTAAATAACTAAGAGTAAAGTTAAACCACATGTTCCACCCAAGGTTTAGTGAAATGGCAAGTTCCCAACCCTGATCTCATAAATTATAGATTCTCACCTTTAAAATAATATCGGTAATAACTGTTGGGTTTTGATACAAATACAAAAGGTGTTATTACTAGGGGTATACAAAACCAGATATCCGATCCGATTTTGTATTTTTTTTATCCGATCTGAAAATTTGAATCGGATGAAACCTAATCCAAAATCAATTCGGATTTTGTCTGATCCGTTTTGATTCGATTCGAATATTCAGATCAAATGAAACTGGATATCCAAATTTGATCCGAATTTGAAACACGTGAAGTTGGAAGTGGAGCAAAAGGGAAACTTGCAGGCGTTGGTTAAGATGAAATTAGAACAAGACCAGAAGGGAAACTTGTAAGTTTGCTTTAGAATATGGGTAAATTTAATACTAAAAGAGATTGAAGATTAGTGAGATGGTTGGTAATGGTTCAACTATGATTTGAAGATTACTAGAACATGTACCTGCCAAGAAGACTATAACTAGAAATGTTTAAGAAATTGAATTTGCTACGTCATTCGCCTTCCTCTGCCAATCTCTTATTAGGTTTTCATGCATGAGAAGGAGACACCCACTAACATAAAATATAATAAAAATATCTTTTTAGTATTATTTATTTAGGAGTTGTTTGTCTAAGCTTATAAGCTAATCAAACTAGTTTATAAGCTCTAAAATTAAGCTGACATGTTTGTTTATAATTTTTTTGAGCTTATAAGCCAAAAAAAATAAGTTGGGGGGGAGGTACTTTTTTTTTTTTCTGCTTATAAGTTAGTTTGACCAAGCATATTACCACATTATCCTTGTTTAATTTTAAAATTCCATAGTATACCCTTATTTAATATAGTACCTTTTATAGTCATTTTATAATAAAATGTACTTATAAGCCACATTTTACCAAACACGTCAACTACTTATCAGTCACTTATAAGTACTTTAACCAAACATGTAATTGCTTAAAATTTCAAATGCTTATAAGCTAATTTTAACTTATAAGCACTTGTTGCTTATAAGCTAATTTTCATAAGCTCAGACAAACACCCTCTGTGTCTTACCTAGTCTTTTGGGTTTGTAGGGTATTCATTGAACATCGATGATTAGCTAAGGTGATTCAGACACCCCATTATCAAAAAAAAAAAAAANTCTTCTCTTCTAAAAAGTAATTTAAGAATTAAACACTAACAAATACCTTATAAATGTTTATTTGATCTTGATTATTTTTAAAATAGGGTGATAAGTGATTAAAGTAAAAGCTACAAACCTAAACTTAAACAAATTTAATAGAAAACTGACTTAACCTAAATCAGTATTTAACAAACACAAGAAAATTAATATAAATTAATACCCCAGAATCAGATAAACAAATCAATTAAATATTTAACAAACATACTTTACTAACTTGAATATTTGGTTGCATTTCTTATTTAAAAATATTTAATAAGGCTACAACTTGTAAGTTTTGGGATACTTATTACATATATAGACAAAAAAGGTAATAAAATCAAAATATTATATTACAACTACTGTTTCTTACCTTCCTATTTTGAATATTCGGTTTTCTTTTTTGAATCAGTCTTTTTTCTATTCTATATTATTGATTCATTAATATTTGAATAATATATAGTCCAAAAGAATGGGTATAAAAACAGTTTAAATGCTTGGTTAATTTGTTATTATTTATCATGATACAACATTTACCTTATTTGTTGCTTTATTTAATTTACAAATACTTATAAATACGAGCTTTTTATTAATGTTTAAAAAAAAAATGGACATAAGAGACAAACATATAAATTAATTTTTCTTTATCAGTGAGACCTTTGAATAACATCAATAGATGATCATATCATATTATTTAGTTGATGCAAGACGCATCTGTTACATATAATATAGGCATTGATAAGGATTTTTTGACTATGCTTATACTTATCCCAACAAAGGTTAAGACATTGAAACTTGTTACAATTCTTGGGAAAAGACACGTAAGAATCACAGCTATCAACCTTTGACCGTGCTTCTTTAAACATTGTACCTATAATCTCACAATATTAATTATAGCTGTAAAATATATAGGGTAATAATACATCTTATCGACTTAAAGTAACTAAGAGAAATGAAAAAAAATGAATTTAATACAAAATATTAACAGAAATGTATTACGAGATGAGAGTACCAGGAAAAAAAAACTAAAAGCATTGAAAAATATTAAGAAGAATATTACCTGATACTTATTGTTTTTTTCTTTTTTTTACTCTCTAAAGTTATAGTTAGCAAACAAAAAAAGAAAGTTTATATATATATATATTGGAAACTTCAATTCATTACCATTTTACTCCATTCAATAGTCCAATAAAACGTTCACCATTTATACGTTAACATTAAAAATGTCAATCACACATTAATATTATAATAAAATGGTAAATTAATAAATGTATTAAATTTAACTGTCAAAATAAAATGGTAAATTAATATATGGTAACAACATCAGATTTATTTTACCTAAATAGTAATGAGATTGCAAAGGACACAAGTTTCAATTTGTTAAATTTAATGATATCAAAATAATAATTTTGTTCAGTTTAGGAACAAAACAAACAAAAATTTCAATTTGCTCAATTTAAGGACACTAAATGGAAACTTTGTTCAATTTAGAGACGTTTTAATTTAATGGAAAAACAACAAAAAGACTTAAATACCCCAAGTTATTTATTCGGTTTTAGTATTGCATTTTTAAATTTAAAAACTAAAAAAAAATTAATAATTGTTTGATTTCAAAGTTTAATATTAAAAAAAAAAATTAATTTAAATAAAAACGAGAAAAACTGCTTTTAAAATAAAAAAAAAAAAAAGACTGAGAAAAAATGTTACATAAAAGAAAGTGCAACCATTTTTATTTTTAATTATAAATTTAAAAACATAAAATCCTTGTCCGTTGCGCCGCTAGCCTGGGGAAAGCCGGCGACTTCTCCTTTTTTTTTTTTTTTTTTTTTTTTTTTTTTTTTATATTTATTTATTTTTAAAATTTTTGACATGTGTCAGCGTTTTATTAGATAAAATAATAATTTGCTCTCTCCTATTAATGTAGTAAAACTAAATATGAACAAATTGAACTTATATCCTTTTTTTAATATTTCATAAAATAATTGTACCTAAATTGATGATATCAAAATTAAATTGTGTTTAAAATGAATGAAGAGATAAAAGTGGATGTAATATTGTTATTAAAGTTTGAATAGTATGATGAAATTCAATAATGGTAAAAGAAAGATCCTATGAAAGAGACAAGGAATATTGGAAGGAAACATTAATTTTAGGTGAAAGCAACAATGTTGAGCTTAAATTAAAGGAATGTTTGGCCGTCTCTAT